GGAGCCTCTGAGAGAGCGAGAGCCCTCCTCGGGGCTCACTGCCCAAGTCCAGGCAGCCTCGGAGACGGCTGGGCGAAAGTGAGAGATCGTGAGTCATAGGTAGGGATAGCGGCAATTACACAGTCCCAGCCGCCGCTACCAGGATCCCTGGGGCACACGGAGAAGCCCCTGGCTGGCTGACAGATTGGCAGTCCCAACACACGGGCCTCTCTGTGCCTAGGGATGAAGCTCAGAAAGGGAGAAGGAGGGGCAAGAGGGGGAGGTGGGGCGCAGTGGACAGGGAGGAAGTGGCCTTCCCTGGTCAAGATTGAAATCAGGGTCACAAGACCAAAAACCGTGCATGAACTGTTGCTCCGTAAACTTTCGCCCAAATTTACAGGAGAAAAGCTCGGTTTTAAAACCATGGGTGAGAAAGCCCTGTGGGGCCCTTCTACTCTGTTACCTACCCCTACCCCAGTGCGGGGGAGCAACGCTTTGGGCCCAGATCAACTCAAGGGGCCCCAACAACATAGGCTTTGCCAAAGTGGCCACCTGGGCTAGCCCCCCAGCTTGCCCTCGCTTATTTCAGCTTCAACAGCCAGTTCATGCAGGACCCATTTCACAATTGAGAACACCAGGGCTTGAACAGGCACCACACACCCAGGAAGCAAGATTGCAGCCCAGGCTTCGCCAGCTCCTTGAGTCTGCGTCCTGATGGGGGACTGGGGGCAGGGGCCAGTAAGGGGGAGTGACCGCTGACTCAGAGCAATTCTGCAGGGCAGGGTCAAACGGCAGCTGGGAGGTTTCGGAGACTGTGAATCGAACCGCTAACTGCAGTCAGCAACCCCGGGCGTAACCACTACACCACCAGGCCCCCTTCTTGTGCAGAGAGCACACCATCTATGGAAACACCTCACCGAGGGGAAGAGTCCACAAGCAGCCATCCCTCACGGTTCCCGCGCACACACAACGCCGACTTAAAGACCTAAAGACGTCCTGAGCTGGATGGGAAAACACCACCTCACCCCACCCACCCCCAGCCCCTACTACACTGCTCCAGCATCATGGGGGTCGCATAATGTCCTACCCCTTTGCATAACCCAGGGTACAGGAGGGAGGCGTGACTGGTGACTGCGTTTCCTCCTCTCTTGAAACATGACTCCTTTCCCAACCGTGCCCGTGCTTATTTCTGAAGAACGGGAGCAGGCTTTGCTAGAACCACAGCAATGCCAACGCTGGACAGACCACTTGGGGACAAAGTGCCATCAGCAATCTGCAGCCCATCTGCCAATTTTGCCAAGCACCTTTGTGATGGCCCTCGGAGCTGTTTCTCGATCCATGTCCACTCTTGGGCCAGCCAATGCCTTCAGCCCCAGCATTGTTTTGATGGCTTTTAATGGGGACCTTTCCTCCGCCTGCCTTTGTCTGATAGGCCAGAGAGATCCATCCCACCGTCTGAGTTACTCTGGAAACTTCCTCCTCCTTCCCTTGTTTAAAATTCCAAGGCCTCATTACTGAGGGGGAGTTGGGTGTCGGGTGCGGCACCGCCCACCTTCTCCTCTCAACCCGTTGGTCTGATAGGGGCCACTCTCACAGCTGGCACGTCTCTGCTTTTTCAAGGCAAATGTCTGCTCCTTAGACAAACCCCCCTTAATGCCAGCGGGGTACCACAGGCCCCCACTACCCTGGGCAGAAACACACCCCTCACTGTGTAGGACCCCAACCTGTAGCTCTGTGCAAAGAAAGGTTTTCTTGCTCACTTGGGGGTTGACTGCCCGGCTCCTGAGGGCAAGGCCTTTTGCTTTTGCGCTTCACTGCGAGGGGCTGCACATCCAGCAGCTGCCGGTTCAAACCCACCAGGGGCCCCTCGGGAGAAAAGGATTGGCGCGCTTGTCCTCCGCGGCCAGTGCTGCTAACACATGGGGTCCTTTGGAGTTATTCTCACTGGGCACACAGGAGGGTTGGGGGGATAGCTTCTGGGTCACTGCTACATTCTCAGATACCTGGAAGTGGCCTGCCCACAAAAGGGACTTGGGAAATTCCTTGCTGAGTCAATGAACCCCCTTGAAGAAAGAAGAAAGCCATTGTCCGGATGGGGGAAACCAAAGGGGAGGGGGAGGGAGGGCAAGAGGCCCCTTCCAGATTCCAGAACCTTCCCTCGGCCTCCCTGGCTGCCTCTGACCACCAAAGGACACAGCCTGAAAATCCCCCTTATCTCTGAAATCCCATCACTCCACCCCAAAGTCCCACTGATTAATGTTTAAATCAATCTCAGCAGGCTGAAGGGTCGGATTCCACAGAAGGATCAGATTGGCCCTCTACTGTCCCCTGGCCTGTCCAGAGGAGGGGGCAGCAGCAGGCGATTAGGCCAGCTCCTTCCAGAAGCCTGGTATCCTCTGTGGCTAGCCCTCTGAGCAAGGACAGGGACAGGGGTAGTCAGTGTGCAAACACGGAAATCCCACTATAGTCCCTTCATTGCAGCGCGATTGGGATTCTGGCCAGCCTGCCCATGCCCAACGAGGTGGCAGGCCTGCCAGGAGCTTAGCAGCAACCTGTCCACTTCCAGGTTGTGAACCCCTCACCGGACATCCACACGCAAGGTTGGGGGAACAGTCCTTCTGTACCCCTTCCCACTGTATTTTAATCCGCAGCCACGTGGAAATTTCACCTCCTCTTCTGCCAGAAAAAAAAGGGGGGGGGCCCAAATCACTCGAGTCAACCACCAAGGGATTGGCCCAATCCTTTGCTCAGAACTTCCTTGGAATGGGCACCTCTGACCCCAACTGGGGTCCTCTCCACGGGAGCTCTCCTAGTGGCATGCAGACGGGTCCCTAGCAGAGGGCAGGAAGGAGACCTTGCTGTGTGGCCACGGGCAAATCACTCAACCTCTCCGCTTCCCAGTACAACAACCAAATAAAGACAGGGCAGGACCTGACCAGAGGAGCTGACAGCCGAGGAGAAGGGGGTGGTGCATCCTAAAGGAAATTTTAGCACCTGCACCCTGCAAAGAAGAGGGGTGGGGGGAGGGTACCAGGCTGGGGACTTTCTAATCTGGGTCCCGCCCCACGCAATGAAGGCAGAGAGCTTCCCATCTAAAGGGATTAACAGCGACCTCTGCACCAGGGCGTTGGCCTGGGGTCCGAGGTCTGGCCACTGGAGGTGGAGGTGGGAGCAGCAGGACGTCCCCTCCTCTCCTCTCCTCAGACTGCCCTTCCTCCTAGACAGTACTTGCCAGGCCTCGCGCCTGCCACTTCCTCCATGACCTCAGCCCCTGAGCATGCAGAAGTCAGGCTGCTACTCCCAGTGCACAGCCCGAGGCCCAGAGGCACTGGGCCAGACCTCCGCAGGCAGCTGCCTCCTGCTCGGCTCCTGGTCCTGCCTGTCCCCTGGCCAGTCTGCTGCTGTGCTGAGCCTTGGTTTCCCCAAAATGGGGGCGGCCCCTCCCAAAGCGATCAATAGTTGCCTGAGCAAAGCACCTGGTCTGGTGCGTGCCCACCAGGGGTACCCCATTACTGGGGGAGGGGCCGTCTTTCATTCCCTCTCATGTTGGTCCTTGGTCCCTATGAGGCTGAAAACAGCTGTGAACAGAGGAGCCATGGAAGGTGAACCAAGAGTCTGCCAGCCAGCACAGGTTGACCACCACCACCACGACCCTACCAGCCATGGCATGCAGAGTAGCCAAAAGAGCCCAAAATAGCCCAGAGAATTCATTGTGACCTGGGGGTCTGCACAAGAGTACACCCTTTGTACCCTGGGCCACCACCAAGATCCCTAAGGGCCTTTCTTTGCCCGCAAAGCTTGCTCAGGAGAAAACCCTCCTCAGTCCAAGGCAGAATGTGACCCTCTGCTCAGGCACACACCCAGGCGTCCAGGGCCCCCCTCTCATCCCCTCCCACCCGCCACACCACCCCCCACCAATGGGGATCTCTGTGCCCCTCCCCCGCCTGCACAAAGGCCCTTTGTCTCTCCGACCCGACCCGGTTCCCTAAAAGTTCCAGGATAAAAATCAAAGAAAGCGAGGTGGTGGCAGGGTGGGGCTGGACCAGTGGGTTCCTCTGGGCTGTGGGCCAGCACCTCCTGGACGCAAAGGCCCAAGGAAAGCGCCCAAGACTCCCCAAGAAGTTGCAAGGGTCCTAAAGCGTCGTTTGGAAGCAAGCTTTTTTTAAGCTGATGCGTGGGACGGCTGGCACGGAAGCCGGGGACTCGAGGGGTGGCCTCCGAGGAGGCCACCGGGCAGGTCTGGGGTCCTCCCCTTCCCAATCCTGCCTGGGCCTGGAGGGATATGCGTGGCCCGCCGTTTGGGGCTACCCTCTCGGTAAATGGCGCCAGTAGGTACCCTCCCTTCTTGGCCCCCAGTCTCTCCCCAGGCTTCCCGAGGCCACCGAACCTGGCCCGATCCGCGCGCGGCTCCCTTCGCGGCGGAGCAAGGTAGTGGCAGCCCCACTGCGCCAGCACCCGCCTGCCAGCTGGAGCTGGGAATTGCAGGGACGTGGTCGTTGCCCTCTGGCCACTGGAGACCAGGGTCCCTGGGCTGGGGTCAGAGTCGTCCCGCACCCCACGGAGCACCAGATGAGCTGGAGACCCTCACACAGAGTGGAGCAAGGCACAGATACTGGAACTGCGAACGGACCCCTGGGCCCACCTGAGCCAGGCAGGTCGTTTGCCAAGAAAAAGATTGGACCGCGGGGAGCCATAGTCTCTCGGGGAGTCGGGTTGGTTTGTTCTTTTCTGAAAACCCCAGCTCAGGCTCACGCCGCTGGGACCCCGGGTTTAGACTCGCCCCCGGTGGTGGCACGGGTTTTCGGCAGACAAGTTCGGCAAGGGCGTGAGCCTGAGCGAGCCGGGAGCTCCGAAGGAGGCCGAGCGAGCCGTGCACCTTTCCGGACACAGGCTGGGTGTCTCTGGGCCCCAGGCACGGAGCCTGCCCGCACTTCCCTGAGCCTCGGAGGAAGAGGGAGCCGAGCCCACCCGGGGGGCCCCCTCCCCGGGCCGGTTCCCCGGCCCAGGCTCCCGGCACTTACCAGGGTGCGGGTGGAGGTTGAGGCCCGCCATGTACTTCCCGGGTGGCAGTGGGCCGGGCAGGCCGGAGGCCGGCAGGCGTCCGGCAGCAGCCGCGCCCACGCGGTGGCTTTCCATGCCCAGGCCGGACAGCAGCGGCGGCGGGGGGCCAAGCAGGGACCGCGGGGGCCCGAAGTCTCGGCCATCCATCCTCCGCGCGAGTGCCGCGGCCAGCCCGCCACCCCGGCCCACGGGCCGCGCTTAGTGGGACCTAAAAGTTAGGCCTTGGCTGAGTCCCAGAGTCCTCGGGTGGCGGGGGCTCCGCGGCGGGCATGGCAGCGGAGGCCAGCGGCGTGCGCGCTCGCTCGGTGGCCGCGGCGGACCAGGGCGCAGACGGCAGGCGGCGGGGCCCCTCCGGGCAGCCGGGCAGAGCAGGGCGGTGCGGCGCAGGTTGCGGCGTCTTGTCGGGGAGAGGAGGAGGCGGAGGAGGCAGCAGGAACAATCGGAGAGGATAAGAGAAAAAGGGAGATTAAAAAAAAAAAAGAAGAAAAACAAGTTTCAAAAAGTATCCAGGCGGAATGGTGCCTGGAGTGTCACCGCGATGGTCAGAAACGAAATCAAAAGGCTCCCGTTTGCCAAAAAAGCTCAGACTCCAATCTCCTTCCTCCGGCGGCTCGGGCTCCCGGGGCCAGGCGCGGACCAGGTTTTCTCGCCGGTCCTTGAACTAGGAAGGCCGTGCGCGCGCCGCGCCCACAGAGTGCAAATTCAACCCTCCAAATGCGTTCGCTTCCTCGGTGTCACATGCCCCAGGCTTTAAAACCGAAGTCTTTATGAGAGCGGGAAGAGCGGTGTCTCTCCAACACGACATCCACTATCTGATCCGGAAAGTTTAATATTTAACCTGCTTTTCGCCCTAGCCTGCGGGTTTCCCTTCTCCACTCGCCCGGAGGGGCTTTTCAGAAGAGACGGTGCAAGGCAAGGTTCATGATTATTTTTAAAGTGGCTCCTCACCTCCCTCCACACCCCACCCCCAGTCCCAGCGAGGCGCAGAGCCCGAGTCCCGGTAGCGAAACGTGGCAATTCTCGCCGGATGACTGGAAAAAATTCCTTCAAAAACAAGCGTTGGTTTCATTTTCCAATGCCCTGCCTAGGGGGATCCCTTGGCCCGAGGACGTGGCCTGGCTTGGGGGTCTGGGGGACATCCAAAGGGAATGAAGGGACTCAAGAGTCTGGTTCCTACCCTAGCTTCTTCCCCCACCACTCGACCTGCAAATAATCTACAAAGAAACACCTCCACAGCGCGGGCTGGTCTAGGAGCGCCTCCCCCAACGCCTGATAGATCCCCCTGTCGTTCCAATTTAAAGGTGTTTGTTTAAAAGATTTGTCGTTTGCCCAGTGGGGGTGGGGGATTCAGAGCCAGCCCTTCCCTGGCTCTGGGTCTGCAGGGGGGACGCCGGCAGCCTGCAGCAGCTCAGCGCCCTTGGATCGGGGAGGCCCAGGCGCTGCCAACGCCACGACTGGCGGAGACCTCACCGAACATACCGGGAAGGCCCAGGCCGCCGCCGCCCACCCCTCAACGGGTGTCCGCCCTGTGCGCGCCCACCCCCGCCCTCCCTCCCACCAGGCTACAGACCCCTTGGCCACAAATCCACCACCGGCCAGACCCGCCGGACCCCTTCTCTCCAGCCTCCCACCCCAACTTTGCTAAGGGCACTTATCTTAACCTGGTTTGGGTTACAAACATCTCCCCCCACCCACCCCGCTCGCTCGCTCTAGGCCCGCAGGCTCTGGTTACAAGACCCGCGTTCACTTTGTAAAAATCTAAGACCGCCACATCTGAGGATCCAATGTCTCAAGGAGAGACGAGCAGCTAGCTCCCAGTGACTCTTACAAGATTGCCCTCGGATCTATTTATTTTTAAAGCAATCCAGCGCCCTGGAGTCGAGATGCAGCCCCCAAACACCCTTGCTGGGGCAAAGGCGCTGCTCCAGCCATTTGGGTGGGGGGAGGGGGGGCTGCGATTCCTTCAGCCGACTTTTCTTCCCCATCTAAATGCAGCTAAAATGGCTGAATTCCGGCTTCTAATTAAAACCAGCCTGGAATCGCAACTGTCTCCGCGCCTCCAGCTCCCCGGCCGCCTGCAGGGAACCAAGGGGGAAGCGAGGCCCCTCCGGCCGGCCGGGCGGTGAGGGCTGCACGGGGCTGAGGGCTTGGTGGGCGTCCGGGGCTGACCCTCACCCCTCTCAGGGGCGCCAGCCCCGGCCCCAACCTCCGCTCCCGGGGGGACCCCGGCGCAGCCCGCGAGCATGGAGGGCAGACTGGAGAAGTTTGGAGAAGACCGTACGGACGGGCGAGGGGACAGCGTACCTGGCGCGGCGGGGCTTTGGGCTCCGGGCTCCGGCTCCGGCGGCTGCCCTGGCTCCCGGCGCTGTCAGGCGCCCGTGATGTGCACCATCCCGGGGCCGCCGTTCCCCTGCGTGACCCGCGGTCGCCTCACACTTTTTGCCCGCCTTTCCTTTTTTTGGTAGAAAACCGGGGCCGTGCGCTCGGCGCGCCAACTCCTCCGCCCTCCCGCCGCCGGGCTCCCGCAGCCCCCGGAAAAGCCAGCTTTCCTCCTGCCGAGCTCCCTGCTTTTTAATAAAATCCAGGTAGCGCCGGTTTAAAGAATCCCAAATCTCCATATACAGCCCGGGATTGGAAAAGGTACATTACACAACCCCCCTTTCAAGTTCCT